GGAAGCTCGACAAGGCCTGCGAGTCGGTCAAGGGCGATGGCGACGTCAGAGCGCTGAAGTACATCGAGCACAAGGCGGACCACATTGCCAGGTTCAGCACTCTCGACAGCGAGGTGAACGGCATCAAGTCGTGGCGCCAGTCAAACGATCTCGTCGCGGCCCAGGGTGAATTGTTCAAGAAGTTGGAGCACGTCCAGGCTGACGACAGGGTGATGCAGGAGATCGCAGCTGGCATTCACGGGGTGAGGAAACAGGACAAGGACGAGAAGGCCAAGGACAGGAGACAGTTGACCACCCAGCTGAAGAAGTACGTCGACCAGTTCGAGACCACGGGAATGCCCCAGACGATTGCCACGGAGTTCGGCAGTTGCCTCTCCGAGGAGAAGGTCGTCATCCTTCTCCTCCCCTGGCTCCTCCTCTCCTGGCTCTTCCTAATCATATTTATCATCCTCCTCCCCTGGGCTTCGGGAACTCATCGTCGTTGCTGGTCCCCCCCTGCTTCCACCTCGCTTGCAGGGGTCCGTCAAGGGCTACTGCGACGAGTCCGTCCCGGAGGGGCCCTTCCAGGTCGAGCTGGACGCTTTCAACGTCGGCGCGATGAAACATATGAGCCAGACCATTTCGGACAATTGGGATTCGATCATAACGAAAACGCAGAAGGTCGGAAAGCTGATGTCGAGCAATGCTGCGACGACGCCCCTCGAGTTTGGCAAGTTGGAGGATGTCGGTTTCGAAGTGCCTTTCAAGAACCCCCCCATTGAGATCGAGACCAACACCATGGCCGTGAGTCGCAAGCCGTTCTTGGTGTTGAGCAAGAACTACACGTGGAGCTGGAGTTCGAACAGTTGGCCGTTCGTTGGCATGCCATCCTTCGTCATCAACGTGGGCTCGCCGAGGGTGCTGCTGAAGCTCGTGAAAGGTGGTGCCCTTCTTGATGGAGGTCGCACGGCTCTCAGCGCCATGGCCCAGTGGGCCAAGAGCATCGAGGGCGACGCCGCCAAGAACGTCTGGAAAGAGTCGGACACCGTGTTCTTGCAGAAGAACGAGATCCCCACGTGCCGCACGGCACGTTCTCCTTCGTGCCGAGCTACGCCCCCAAGGACTCGACCGACGAGACCACCAATGCAGCGATGATCGTGAGTCCTAGTTTCCCGAAGGGCATTGCCATGGTGGACGACGCCAGCAAGCAGGTCTGGAACTTGATCAAGCGGGACATCGAGCACATCTTCGAATCGAGCGGGGACCCGAAGATCTGGAGCGCCATCAAGAATGACGTGGTCAGCACACCAAGAGCTTTGACAAAGAGGAGTAGGCCTGCTGGCCGCCCGTTCCTCCGCGTGCCCTGCTCGCCCGCGGCCCGCTGCAGGCTCGCTAGGGGGGGCGAGAATGTCGCAGCTGGGTGTGCGACGCCTGCTGACAGTGGGTGTGATTGGACACAGCCGCCCAGTCCAGCACAGCGCCCAGCGGGCGTCGACGACGCACGGAAGGGAGGAGTGAACGATGAGAAAGGAGAGGATGAAGAGGATGAGGAGGAGGAGGTTGAGGAGGGGGGGGAGGGGGGGGGGGGGGAGGAGGAGGAGGAGGAGGAAGAGGAGGAGGAGGAGTAGCAAGGGTGCACGCTTCAAAAAGTAGCTCGAACGATTTTTTGTTATACAAAAACACACACACACACACGCAACGAAGGGGAGGGGGGGAGGAGGAGGGGGAGGATGAGGAGCAGTAGGCGGAGTGTTTGACGATCCCGAACATGTTGGTAGGGGCGGAAGGGCAACAAGCAGGAGCATGCACATTCCAGCTTCCGTGGCGAAGCACTCGTACACGCGCGCGCCTGCTGTGACACAGCTGGCCGGTGCTCTTCATGATCGTCATCCTGGTCATCATCACTGGCATCGGACTCGTTATGAAGATCTGTGCCGCAACTTTCACGGCCATCGTGCCCGTCATCGTCGCCATCGCTGCCTGCGTCAGCGTCGCTACCACCTCCGACCTCTATTATCATTCTTTGTTCCTGCTCAGGCACCTGCACCTGCTCCCCAGCCCCTCCTCCCCCTCCTCATTCTCCTCTTTCTCGCGCTCCTGCACCTGCTCCTGCTCATGTTCCTCACTCCTAACTCCGTCCGTCCGTTCTCCTCCTCCTCGCGCTCGGCTTCCTCCTCGTCGTCGTCGTCCTCCTCCTCCCTCCGCCCTCCCTCTCAAGCTAGTACTCAAGCTCGGTGTGCGGGTGCCCTGCTAGTGAGAATAAGTTCTAGGCTTCGGGATTCAGTCTTGGCTCCTGCCGCTCTCGCCGCACAAGTTACAGCTAGAGTTCAGACGAAAGCACTGGTTTCATAAGTAGCCTTGCGTGTTATGAGGGTTTAGCTTCGACTGTAGGCCTGTATTTGGAGTGGCGCGAGTCTCGAATTGTTTGACTCGTGGGTTTGGCTATATCTTTACCGACAGCGAATTGTTCATACTTAAGACCACCAGCGCCCAAAACCACAAGCAAACCAGGACAAAACCACTGAAACCCATACCGACCCCCAGCAGTGCCACTGCACGCCAGGGCGTCGCTCCCTGAGGCCTTCTCAGGCGCCAGAGAGAGGTCGCCCCCCTGAGAAGCGATGCAGACCTCCATCGTCGCCGAGAGGATCAAGTGCAAGCAGGCCGACAAGGAGATCCACTGGAGGGCCATCAAGGACTCCGACAGGGAGCTCTACCGAGAGGCGGCGGCCAAGCAGTGGAGCGAGCGGCAGAAGTACGGATCCTGTCAGGTGCTCACCATCGAGGAGTCCGAGGCGGTCAGGGGCAGGGTCAAGGCCAACCTCATCTTGCCCAGCCAGTTTGCGCATCGGGATAAGAACGCGCCGCGGCGGACTGACAAGCACCCGCTGCCGGCCAAGGCCAAGGCCCGACTCTGCGTCGGGGGCCACGTGGGCCCGCGTCTCGCTCAGGGCGACCTGCGCACAGACGCGCCTACGATCACCCGCAACTCGACTTTGCTGTTCTTCACCGTCTGCCAGAGGTTCGACCTGGAGATTTACGCAGCGGACGTGGAGGCGGCTTCCATGCAAGGCGACGAGCAGCCCGACCAGCAGTTGCACATGGCTCACCCCCGCGAGGGCTTACCTGGGTTGCACCCGAAGCAGTTGATCAAGATCCTCAAGATAGTCTTCGGGCTAGCCACCGCACCGCGATAGTGGTGGGCTAAGCTCAAAAGGACCTTGCTTGCGGTGGAGGAGAAGCTATACGACTACGTGTTCCAACTTCGCCAGCATTCGCTAGATCCGGCGCTGTACTACGGCTACGACAAGCACGGGGGGCTGTGAGCGGTGGTGGTCGCCCACGTGGACGACCTGCTGCTGGGCGTCTCGCCCAAGTACCCGACCTTGTACGACCGGCTCTACAAGCCCCTGCCGCGGGGCGTCTGGATGGGGTTTGCCATTCACTTTTTGTTGCAAGCAGGCGTAGCGCGATGAGGAGGGCGTCCTACACCTACGCCAGACAGAGCACGCGAACGCGATCGAGGAGATCGCGCTCAGCAAGGAGCGCAAGACGGAGCTGTCGGCGGAAGCGACGCCAGCCGAGTTCTCGGACAACCGCCCCGCCCTCGGAGCGCATGGATGGCTCTCGTCGCAGACTCGACCAGACCTGTCAGCTGGAGTGGCCATGGGACAGCGCACCCAGAACAAGCCCACCATCCAGGACCTGCTCGAGACGAATCGGCGTATCAAGCTGGCGCGGAAGCACGCGGACGTGTTACTGGAATTTCCGCAGCTACGTGGACCACTTTGCCTGGTTACATACCGCGACGCCAGCTGGGCCAATGCTGACGAGCCACCTGAAGGTGTCATAGCTACGCTGCTCACCAAGATCGTGGGCAGCAAGGACAATAATATCAAGATCCGCTCGCAGGCCGGCTAGGCGATGTTCACTGCCGAGGCTTAGCTGTTGCGCGGCGACAAGGCGCGAGAGGGAATCGTTGATTGGCGATCAGGCGCCAGCAAGAGAGTTTGCAGGTCTATTATGGCAGCAGAGACGATGTCAGCAATAGACGCATTAGGCTGTGCTCAGATCACACGTTGTGTTTTCGATTCCTTTGAGACACCCGATGCTCAACCGGAAGATATTCCCCCGAGTTTGCTGCCGCTCGCTCAGGTCACAGATTGCGCTAGCTTGCGCCATACGATGCGCAAAGACGGTTATTCGAAGCCCCCGTCAGAGCGGCGCTTTTTGCTAGACCTAGTTGGCCTCAAGGAGTCACTAGAGGAGGAAATAAGTCACGAATTCGTTGCCGACGATCAGCGTAGCCAGCTGCCTCTCCTTTGGGTTCTGGCCGACCAGCAGCTCGGATATCAGTGCACTAAGCGATCTGACGGCAGTGCCATCAGGGCAGCGCTGCGAGATACACGCCTCGCATTGCAGCATCAAGAGCCAACCGACCAGGCCCCAGAGCACGAGGCACATATGAACAGTGCTGGCTCGCTTTTCAAGCGCGCCATCCGCCTGATTTAAGGATAGAACGCAGCAGGCGCGCGGTTTCAGCTCAGTTGGTTGACGTGAGATTTGTCACGTCCAAACGTTCTAAGACCAGAGACGCACATATCATAATAATTTCGCACGGGTGTGAAATAGATCGTGTCCGTGCTGATCTGTACGCAGTGTAGCACAGCAAGCAAGCAAGCATGCAGAGGGTATTGACCTTTTCCGTGCTTATGTGGGCTCAATCTTTTTCCAGGGCCCTTGAGCTTGGGCGTATCGGTAGGGGCCATCGCGGGTTCCGCTAAGCAGCCATCTTTCGCCATCCATTGCGGTTTTTAATTGGTATCATTATTGTATATTCGCTGACATACAACCTCGCGGCTATTATTGCATTAAGACCCCGCTTTGCAGTATTTTGTCTACATGAGGCATGGGACGGGGGAGGTGGGACACACGTGCCCATACACCTATCGCGCATCCGATGCCGAGACGTTTGCAAGAAACACATAAAGACGAAAAAGAGGCCTGCCGTTCGGTGCCAGGCCCGTGTGGTGGAAGCGGACGGCGACCTGCACAGGGCGGCTATCTCGTTGGAGACGCCGGGCGGCGAGGGGCGGTTGCCAGGGCAGCTGATGAAAACCACAGCGATGGGTGAGATTCGGCACCCCCCAAGAGAAGGAGGAAGGGTGGGAGGGGAAGGGGGGGTCCAGGGGGGTTGGGGATTCTGGGTGGTTGTCCTCCCCCTGCTTCCTCCCTCCTCCGCTCCTCTCTCCTGCGTCCTTGGTACAATTTCACAATATGAGTGCTACTCTCCTCTCTCCCCTGGTGGCGTCCGGGGAATGTCCGGCCCCCCTCCGCGTACTGGTCTTTTGCACCGGATTCCCGGGAATCGGATTTTCGCTTGGGTTTTTTTGTCAAAGTGCTGCTTTCGCTGAAGCGGTGACTTCATTTTTGGGCTACCTTCGCTCCGAATCGTGCTCCCGCTGCAGCGCTGGCCTCCTTTCCGCGCTTCCGCTCGTTCCGAATCGTGCTCCCGTTGCAGCGTTGGCGCCATTATTTCCAGCGCCATGCCACGGCATGGTTTTCGGTCCTTCCAAATAAGTCCCAAAATCTAGAACATGGACCCCCGAAGAAACCTTCGGAAGTGATTCCGCATTCGGTGTCGATTCGTTGATCTGTTGGGCCGCAGAAGCCCCCCCCAACTTCGGGGCGTCGCCACGCCATGCTATGTCAGGCTGCGCGTCATCATTTCCGCGCTTCCGCGCCGAGTTCTGCCTTCTTTTTAAAAAATGCTGCTCTTGCTGAAGCGCTGGCCTCATTTTCGGGTTACCGCTCGTTACGAATCGTGCTCCCGCTGCAGCGCTGGCCTCATTTCTGCGCTTCCGCTCGTTCCGAATCGTGCTCCCGCTGCAGCGCTGGCGTCTGTATTTCCAGCGACATGCCACGGCATGTTTTTCGGTCCTTCCAAATAGGCCCCAAAATCTAGATCATGGACCTCCGAAGACACCTTCGGAAGTGATTCCACATTCGGTGTCGATTCGTTGATTTGTTGGGCCGCAGAAGCCCCCCCACTTCGGGGCGTGGCCACGCCATGCTATGTCAGGCTGCGCGTCCTCATTTCCGCGCTTCCTTTTTTCGTTTTGTTGTTTTGTTTGTGTTTTTGTCAAAATGCTGCTCTTGCTGAAGCGCTGGCCTCATTTTTGGGCTACCGCTCGTTACGAATCGTGCTCCCGCTGCAGCGCTGGCCTCATTTCTGCGCTTCCGCTCGTTCCGAATCGTGCTCCCGCTGCAGCGCTGGCGTCTGTATTTCCAGCGACATGCCACGGCATGTTTTTCGGTCCTTCCAAATCGGCCCCAAAATCTAGATCATGGACCTCCGAAGACACCTTCGGAAGTGATTCCACATTCGGTGTCGATTCGTTGATCTGTTGGGCCGCAGAAGCCCCCCCACTTCGGGGCGTGGCCACGCCATGCTATGTCAGGCTGCGCGTCCTCATTTCCGCGCTTCCTTTTTTCGTTTTGTTGTTTTGTTTGTGTTTTTGTCAAAATGCTGCTCTCGCTGAAGCGCTGGCTTCATTTTTGGGCTACCGCTCGTTACGAATCGTGCTCCCGCTGCAGCGCTGGCCTCATTTCTGCGCTTCCGCTCGTTCCGAATCGTGCTCCCGCTGCAGCGCTGGCGTCAGTATTTCGAGTGCCATGCCCCGGCCTTGTTTTCGGTCCTTCCAAATCGGCCTAAATATTTTTGGAAAATGGCGTCCCGAAGAAACCTGCGGAAGTGATTCCACATTCGGTGTCGATTCGTTGATTTGTTGGGCCGCAGGAGCCCCCCCCCACTCTGGGGCGTCGCCACCCCATGCCATGTCATGCTACGTGTTGATCTTCGACACCATGCTATGCCATGTAATGCTATGACATGCTACGACATCCGACAGGCCATGCTAGAGATCTACGCCATGGTAAGGGATGGGAGGGAGGGGTCGGACGTCAGATATGACGCGAGCGCACCTAGCTTGCTCTCCTTCCCCTCCTCCTCCTCCTCCTCCTCCTCCTTCTCCTCCTTATGTGGCCTTCGTCTTCTTCTGCTTCTTGTACCTTCTGCTGCTCATTCACCTTTCCTCCCCCCCCAGCGGGTGCCGAATCTGACCCCCGCCCCCTCGTGATTGTTGCCACTCTCAGGTTGGCCTTCGTGTCGACGCGAGAGGTCCGATTTGTCAACGCTCGCGTGAGCAGAAATAGCCTTCGGGGGAGGAGGGAATACCGTCGCCGCTGCTTGGCGCGGCTTGAGAACCCTGTCGGAATGTACCTTGCAAGGGTCCAGGGCCTGACTTTGCACGGGATTTGCCTGCGAGCCGCACAACAAATATTCAACACAAGCTTCTCGGGCCGAATTTGGGACGCTGGAGCCGGTGTTGAAAGCAGTGCGTCCAGCTCCAAGGGGTGTGGGCAAAGCAGCTTTATCCAGTGATTTTCCCTGGCCCTCTCTTCTGGCCAGGAGGGGACGACATGTTTTTTGGGGGCGCACGCGCGCGCGGTCAAGTCGGAGGTGTGGGCCCGCACGGCGGGACAGGAGCTGGAGATGGAGACCTGGGCAGAGAGGGCGGTGGGGGATGCGGCTTCTGAACAGCCGGTCTTGAGTGTATGGGGTCGCCTTCAGAGGATCAGTTTGGTTTCTGGCCGCAGCTGTCACTAATCGGAATAGGGACCCCGACAGGAGGCGGAGGATGTGGAGGTTGAGGAGGAGGAGCCCTTCGTCGTCAACGTTGGACGCGACTCGCAAAACGGGTCAGCACTGGACCAGGAAGGGTCCAGACACGGTTTTGAGCGGATTTTGGACGGGAGGGAGGGGTGAGACGGGGATGAGGAGAAGGAGGCGGCGGAGCACGAGGACGACAATAAGGAGGAGGAGGAGGAGAAGGACGAGGACGAGGAGGAGGAGGAGGAGGAGGAATCGGAGGAGGAGGAGGAGGAGGATTTGCAAGGATTTCTGATCCAATGGTCGAGGTTTTTTGGGCGATGTGTGTGTGTGTGTGTGTGCGTGCTTGTGTGTGCGTGCTCGTGTGTGCGTGTGTGTTTTCGTATGCTTGCGCGGCCGTCGCGCTGGCCTTTCGCTGCTCCCGCACGCCTGGCTCCGCCGCGTTGCTGCTCGCGCGGCAGCTACGCAGCATATGTATGCGTGCGTATACTTCACCACTGCGTCGGAGGAACAATGTGCGTGCATGCGTGCGTGAGTGTGCGTGCGTGTGTGTGTGTGTGTGTGTGTGTGTGTGTGTGTGTGTGTGACAGAGGGCGAGCGTATGTTCGCTCGAAACAGGAGATGATGAGGGCCTCTGGGGCGAAGTATGGGGCGATAAAGAAGAACGACACGGGGGGCTACATCATCGCCAGCGAGACGGGGATCCAGTTGCGCTGCCGCGCGAATCCGCCACCGCGTTCGGGCGGAGGGGGCGCCTGAGGGACTGATTTTGCCGTTTTCTGGTTGAATTGGATATTCATGGGTTCTGTTGAACAAGTGAACACATGTTGGGCTCGATGCTTCGGGGCATACTATTGATTGCTTCGCAAAGGCTGAGTTGCCAACATAATAATTAAGGGCACGACGCACACATACTATGTTGACATAGACTGACACTAACCGGTGCAAACTCGGTGGCGGACGTTGGCTGTGTTTAGCGGCAGTGCCATGAAGCACGAGATGCGGGTTAGCGACAGTTACGGCGCGACTTTGGCGGAGGTGACTCCTGTCCGCACCAATAACGCCTACGACGTGGTGGTGTACCCGAACGTAGATGCAGGGCTTATCACTCTCGCGTTACTCGCGATTGAAAAGAACGAGCGGGTCGAGTCCAGCATCCAGCATGGTCACGGCGTGAGGTGATGATATTTAGACTTCGTGCCACGAGGCGCTTTGCTGGCTTTGGCCTGGTCCTTCGGAGCTAATGTGGAGGAGGAGGAAGAGGAGGAGGATCGATGAAGAGGGTCGCCAGACGAGCATCGTGCAAAGTCGAAGTTTCGCCCAGACCTCTCGGTCTTGAACTCGTGCAACAATAGGCCTCCGGACGCAGTGTCGTTCGACGTCAAAGTCTCGCCCGCTGGATATTCTGCTCCTCTCGTGCCACGGCCTGGGCCGCGCGATAGGCCTGTTTGGGGGAGCAGCCGGCCTGGAGGCGGCGGAAGGGGGGGGGGGCGAGTGAGGAGGGGGTCTGCGAGAAAAGCGCGGGGAGTTGCACGAAGAGTGCGAAACGTGCCCAGACCCCTCGAGTCATGGAACAATCACGACTTAATGTTTTCCCTATTTTCGTTGTTCGGGGGCCCGTACCCGGCCTCAGGACCACCAGAAAAAGTTTCAGGATGAAAAGGCGGTCCGCGGGAATGGGTCGAGACTTCTGGGGGTCGGCGTTATGACATAATCATGACGGGTGTCTGGGTGGTGGGGCTTGTGAGACGAGATGGTGGGAGACCCCATACTCTCAGGGCTCTGGCGGTAGTGGGGGCAGGATGAAAGAGTCTGAGGACAGGGAGGCCACCGGGAAGCGAGTTGGGCGGAGCGGCGACCAAGGGGTGGCCCAACGCCGTGCCGAATTCAAGCAGATGTGGAATTAGTACAGTCGGTTTCGGCATTGGATCTTGATCGAGATCCTTCTGGCGGCGCGCACTGAAGAGGCAGGGCGAGGGGGCGGCCTGCTAAGAAGTCCCCTTCCTCGTCTTTCTAGATCGTACGGGCGGGTATCCTCAATTCGCATGTTGGGACTGACTCCGTTGTTTGGGGAAGTGTTGCGACTTTGTTTCGCGGGATGGGTCGTTTGATATATTGACGCAACACATTCACACTGAGGTGTAGCAACATCGGCGACCCCAAACCGCAATCAGAGCAACGCCGGCATATATATATATATATATATATATTAGCGAAAGTCGGCGCCGGGAGTGCAGTCAATCCGTACAATACAAGTCAATTGTTGTTGATCTATGGTTTTCTTATATCCTCACAGCACGAGAGATCCATTCTCACACACCATGCCAGCCAGCATTGAGGAGTCACATCCCGTGTAATGCCAACTTCCACAAGTCGAGTTCAGCAAACATGCGTTGTCCAAAATAAACTTCCACGCAACATATCATTATCATCATCCGTCTGGTCTCGGAGTTTGACTTTTGTCGATGTGCCAGGTCCACGCGCTGCCCCGAACCAGAGCTGTCGATGACCCGCCCAGGAAGAGCGAGAGAGCGAGGAATGGAAAGAGGTGGAGGGAGGAGGGTTTGATCCACATGTATTATGTGTGTACATGTGTGTGTGTATGTATATATATATATATATATATATATATATTTGTAAGGGCTTCACCCTCTGCCGCCGGTCCCCTCTCTCGGATAATGCGCTATGCAAGAGTTATGTCATGAGGCTTGGGCGCTGTCGTGAAGCAGTATCGGAACTTCATGCGAGGCCGACTCGTAATCAGCAAAACCAATAGATGACCAGAGGGGTTACCACACCTGGCGATTGGTAAGGCGTCGTGACCCTGCCGATCTGCTGCGTGAGGGGTGCCACCGAATGTCAGAAATGTGGCAAATCACATCTGTTTTTGGACTCTGACCCCGCCGATCTGCATGAGGGGTGCCACCGAATGTCTGAAATGTGGCAAATTCAATGTGTTTTTGGACCCTGACCCCGCCGATCTGCGTGAGAGGTGCCACCGAATTTCAGACATGTGGCAAATCCTTTGTGTTTTTGGACCCTGACCCCACCGATCTGCGTGGGGGGTGCCACTGAATGTAAGACATGTTGCAAATCCTTTGTGTTTTTGGACCCTGACCCCGCCGATCTGCGTGAGGGGTGTCACCGAATGTCAGACATGTGGCAAATCATGTATGTTTTCGGACCCTGACCCCGCCGATCTGCGTGAGGGGTGTTTTCGAATTTTAGAAATGTAGCAAATTCCATGTGTTGTTGGACCCTGACCCCGCCGATCTGCGTGAGGGTTGCTACCGAATTTCAGACATTTGTGTTTTCGGACCCTGACCCCGCCGATCTGCGTGAGGGGTGTTTTCGAATTTTAGAAATGTGGCAAATCCCATGTGTTTTTGGACCCTGACCCCGCCGATCTGCGTGAGAGGTGCCACCGAATTTCAGACATGTGGCAAATCCTTTGTGTTTTTGGACCCTGACCCCGCCGATCTGCGTGAGGGGTGCCACCGAAATTCAGAAATGTGGCAAATTCCATGTGTCTTTGGATCCTGATCCCACCGAATTCTTATCCACCCCAGCAATTCAGACAATACAGTTTCTCCGTGGTAGAAATACCTGTTTTAGGCGTCCCCACTCGCGCGGTCCATCAAGAAGGAACAGTAAACAGCAATAAATCATCAAGGAACAGTAAGCAGCAAGAAACAGAATTGTAACAGTGGAAACTGGAACTTGCAACTGGTACATGAAACTGCGAACCTCCGGCCTGCAGCCTGGTGGCCCCATACGGGGGCCGGCGGATATATCTATATGTATACACACATCCGTATCCATTTTGGCTCAAGTGCTCGCGGCTGTGCCCGCCCTGTTTCTTGAGCTGATATGTAAGCCTACCTGGAGTTTGAGCTTACGCTTCCTTTCTCGACCGCCCCAGATCTCTGTGAGCAGAGTGGATGGCGCCATGGTCGTGGCAAGGTGGGCGTGTGGGCTATTCCTCCTCGCCAGCTTCCGAGGAATGTAAGAAGGATCCGAGCGGCCAATGGTACTTCATCGGTCAACGTGGAGGTGGGCAGAAACCTCCATCAAGACTTTGGGTGTGCAGCGGCTGCCAGTCGAACAATTAGACCAATAATGCGTGCAGCACATGCGGCATGTGCAAGACGTTCGCGGAGGTCGCCAAGGGTGCGCTGTCTGTGGGTACGAACAGCGCTCCCCATGGCCCCTCCCGGAACCCCATCAGCCAGCAGCTGGCCGAGGTTGCCGCCAAGCTCCAGCGAGCTACTGCAGGCACCTCGATGACGACGACGATGACCACGGCTCCTCCGCCCTCAGCCCCGACAGCGCTACCAGTGGAGGACCCGTCCACGGCCATGCAGGTCGAGCCTGTGCAGCCCAGTGCCCCCACACGTCAGCAGCTGCAGAGCTCGATTGCGCAGCTCGAGAAGGCACTTGCGGCACTCGAGGGCCAAGGGGGTGCTGTGCAGAGCCCGATCCAGATGCAGATCGCGGAGAAGAAGAAGATGCTTGGCGAGCTGCCCCCCCCGAAGCCCGTGGGGGAGCGGCTCGACGGCGCCCGCGCTGCCCTGGAGCGCGCGATCAAGCGCCGCCAGGCGGCCGACGAGAGCGTCAGGCTGGCGCTCGCGGCCCAGACAGCCGCATCGGAGGAAGTGACGAAGTTGCGCGAGGATGTTCGCCAGCTCGAGATCGAATGCGTTGCAGGGCGCGACACCAGCACACAGCTAGCCAAGCCCGACATGGAGCAGCTGGAGGCCATCCTCCCAGCTGCGGCCGACGAGCTCAAGGCCTGCTCAGCGGTGAACCCCTCGGCGATCGACGAAGCCACCCAGCGGTCCAGGGAGCTGTTCGAAAAGTTCAAGGCGGCCCTCGAGCTGGCCCACAGCATGGATGCGGCGCAGACCGGGCCCGCTCGGCGCATGGATGGCAAGCAATCGCCGAAGGCCGGGACCGCTCACCCTGCGCCCCCCCCCCCCCCCCGGCACACACACACACACACACACACGCACACATACGCACACGCACGCGCACACGCACACACACGCGCGAGGCGCCTGCAGGGCAAGCGGAAGCCT